TTTTTTGTTTTGGCCTCTTTGACACTAGCCAATTCTAAATAATTCTACCTCCTCCTCTCATCTCCATCGCTTAGCCTGCTTGTGGTTTCACTTTTGAAAACTAAGTCCTTGTAGAATTTGACATTGACTTCTTAAGTCCTTAACCCTGAGTTCTAAAGAAAGATATATCTTCATTTTTTTTAGCTTGATTTCTGTGTGGCGTCCACTGCTGATTATCCTTCCTCTTTAAAACTCTTTTTGCCCCTCCGTTTCTAAACCACCTTCTCTCTTCTGACTGTTCTCCTAATGAACTCTCAGACCAACTCCTTCATCTTTACCAGCTCATTCTCCTCATTGACCATTTCAGAATTAGACCTGTCTTCCTGTCCTCTGTCTTATTCTTTTTTAAATCTCCCTGAGCAATCTCACGTATGACTCATGTTTCAACTGCTTCCTTATTTGCTTACAAATCTCAAATCTGTTTCTAATTCTGTCATGTCTTCTGAATTCCTGCCTGTATTTCTGACAGCTCCCAAGCACATCCCACGACATTGCCCAAACACAATTTCTGAGGAGTCTTGAAGTCCTCGGAGAATCTGGTCAAAAAGTAACCTTCTCAAATTTACATGTGCACAATACTCTGCATATAATTTCAGGGAGTTCTTGAACTGTCTGAAGTTCATCTGTCTTCAGAATTCATGGTCCCCAAATTAACAACTCTTAGAGTAGAGGATCAGAACCAGATAACATCATTTGGCAGTAGAGATTTTTCCTATGTTCCACAATCACACAGGCATTGGTTATCAACTTGTTCTTGTCAAGACACTCTGTTGTGTTCTGAAACATATAACTTGGGATAGACTATAATTTTATACTCAACTTGCTCTGATTCTGATTCTAATTTTGGAACTATTGTTTTGGCCTATTGGTATCTTCGTTCTTCAAATGGATAGATTTAGAGAGAAAATAAAATTTTCTAACATCCTTGCATTTCAAGGTATCAGTAAAAATAACTAGTTTCTCTTTAAAATATATACTTTCATATGATTGAATCTAGTACAGCTCAGCCTGCTTTAAATATCTGTTTCCTCACATCAGACCTTTGTCCATCCCTACGGTGATGAATTAAAGCAAACACCTGTGCATGAACCACAGTAAGCTGACGCTAGTGTTATGTAATACCAAGCAAGCACAGCATAAAAGTGAACTTCCATTGTTTAGCAGAACCTTCATTTCCAGATAGGAGAGATTTACATCTACCCTAACATCAGTAAGCCAACTACAGTCTGTTTCACAGTACTCTCCTTTGCCATTGTCTCACAGGTTTCATTTATTACTGTAAAAACTGCCCCACTCCCATGGTGCTGGGGATGGAGCCCAGGGCCTTGAATGTGCTAGGCAAGCACTCTGTCACTGAGCTTTGTCCCCAGCCCCAAAGTTCATATTTTTATAATTCAATGTATTCAGCTGGTAACCTTCCTCCATCCTCCAGTCTCCTTCCTTCCTAAATTGATTCCATCTTTGGTAACTATACCAACACTGGAAAAATATGTCGAATGCATCTTCAAAGTCAGTGTCTAAGTAGTTTAATCTTCTCATAGCCTAGAAGATCTGAAAGCTTAATTCTTGATATTTCTAGAAAGATCTATGATTCCATAACATCTCAGGCTTTCTCTCTGTCTACATATCCCAAGTAATTCTTAAGAGTAAACCCTTTTCTGATTGGAAAAAACAGGGGACTGAAAAAATCTCTCCCTTTTAAGCCACTTGCCTTCACCATAGCATCTGTGGGCAGAACTGCCTGTTTCTCACCAGAATTCAATATGGTACCTGGCCAGAGTCAACATCCCTAAGGACAGTGCAATTGGTTAGCTTGGCATCTTCCTCATTTTCCTGACTGTTCTCCTTTATGTTTATCAATTTATTTCTTAACTCTGTTAACCTGGCCAGATCCTCTTCCTCTGTGCCTGATTCTAGACTCTGTCTTCCCTTCAGGTCCTACTTGTATTTCTCATCCATTTAAATATATACACACACACACACACACACGTATATATTTAAAGATACATATATACGTGTGTGTGTGTGTGTGTGTGTGTGTAAATTCTTGGCTTGCTTTGACTTCTATCTGCCAGACCCAGTCAACTTAAACTAGATATGTTTTATTCTATATTCGTTACAAACACAAAATCTAAAACTTAAGGATTCACAAAGTTATCTCCTGATATTTCTGTATTGAAAATAAGTATTCGTGAAAAGGTATTAAACTTTTTTTCCCATTAGAAAACTCCATTTCTATGTAGGTCTGGACAAATCTTACTCCTTATACTGTTAGGCAAATGTAACTATCAATATTTATTTCTAATTTTCTTTTACTTTCTATCATCACAGTTTTTTTTTAAGATGTGGTCATGCATTGTCACTGTGTGTCAAAAACGCAGTTGGAACACACACATGTGTCACACGCATTCTTTAAGTTTTGTTTGTGGAGGAAAGTTTTAACATGCATTCCCTGCTGCGGGAAGCCCAAGTCAGTGTGCATTTGACCTGGTACCAGTAGGAAGAAGGTGTTAATTACCATGTTGCCACGAGGTTTATGAACTGGCATTAACATCTCAGCAGGAGCAAAGGTGGCACAATAGCCACTTCTGAGCAGAGGCAAGAAAAGCATCATTACATGCACACTTATTTTTAGCAGCAAAACCTCATGCTTTTTATTTTAGCGATACTGCACAAGTGTTATTTGTAAAGGCCATTACTCTATTAGTAGCATAACTGTCTTGCCATCTTTATTATCTGTGTAATTAAAACACAAATACTTTACTTCTTGGTGTAGCAATTCAATGAAAGTACTTAGTTAATATGTTAATTCATCTTTTAAATCTATTATAGGCACGCTGCAGTCAGCACTTTGGAGGTTTGGTGAACACAGCTGGATTTTAAGAACACTCCCAGCAGGGTTGAGAAACTAATTGCCCACAGTATTTATTTAAATTATTTTAAAAAATCTTTCCAATAATTGCATATATACTGTTTTTTGAATGCAATAATTACATACTCCAAAGTCAGTCTATTCAAATAAATTACTACTGTATTTTGGCCAATTTTCCTGATAGAATCTGCACTAAGAGTGTTCTGTTTAGGGAATTTGATTTAGAACCATCAGGGACGTCTTAATGATAAATCTAAGCATTTTAGGTCAGAGGCTCTGGAAAAGTTTCAGATAATGTTATTTTTCAGTGAAAGCCAGTAAGGACTCCATAAATTGTAAAACATTTTAGGAGGCACATACTTGAGATTTAAGTATTAACTGCAGCTTTTTTTATGAAACACAGTTCTGACCTGCCTGAATTCTAATGTTAAATGAAAGGAGCAAGGGATTAAAATGATAGGATTACAGGACATGGTTCATGATTGGTTTAAGATGAATGAGCAGCAGTGTTAGTAACTTAGCCTGTGTCAGTTTGGGCCAGATTGCCTGGTATACATCTGTGCATCAGATGAGGAAAGGCAAAATCAATTTGCAAATAGGGATCCATCAGACTGTGATACTTCTGTGAAAAGGGGTGATTTTTTTTGTATTGTTATTGAAGGAAGGGAAAAAAATCACAATTTTAAAATGGAAACCTAGTTGCTGTTAATGTCTGAAAATCTTTCTGGAAAAAAATAAACTAATTAAAATATGTATAAGCAATGAATTAGCTCCATATTCAGAGGCTGAAATATAAATTATTATCAGCAGTTTTGGCAGAGTTGCATATTCTAACAGAATATTCTCCTATGTTATAACATCTTCAGAGCACATATTCACATAAAGTTCTATTTTACTTACGATAATTTAATTTATAAAAGGTTAATTTCACAAACTTTACAAAGGTAATTAGTGGAGAATCAAGTTTATCACAAAAGCTTTTTGAAGAAACTGGAGGTAATTTAGCAAGGAATTATTTGTAGATTTTTTTTTCCACACTAATCTCCGATACCTCTTTATGGCTTTAGGGCTTTGTGTCCCTAAAAAGATAAAAGATAATAAATGATTTTAGAATTAAGTAGGACAAAAAAAGTTTTAAAAACATAATTAATGGAACACAAAAGGAAAAAATAAGTTCTAACTTAGTTTGATGCAATATTTAGTATAGTAATGAGACTGTCAGTTATTTTTTAAAATATGAAACTAAGTCAAAAGAAAAAAAATGTTTAGGGAACTAAAGAACCTTAAAAATTCTTTCTCTTCAGGCTGGGGATGTATCCCAGTGGTACAGGGCTTGCCTACCACACATGAGGGTCTGAGTTTGATCTCCAGGACTCAACAAGCAAACAAATCTAGTATCTAATAATGCGAGGAATATCACGATATGAATATAGAATCATACATTTCTTTTCAAATAAAGAAATATTCTAACATATTTCTAATTGTTTGTGCTAATTTTTCAATTAAATAGTTTTAATTTTTGCTACTTAAGCATGTATTGTAATTTGATAAAAAGATGATTATGAATTTTTGATATAAGACTGTAACGTCCTTAAGACTCAGGAACATATTCCAACTCTCATTCTACTCCCCTGCCCTTGACTGTGCTTCTCCTGAAGTCTTGGGCATCCAGCCCACCAGTTTCTACATTATATGCATTCTTCAGATACTGGGTTTTGTATTTTAAATAACCATCAAATAATCAGGCTCTTGTCATTAGTGAGAAAACAGAGTATGTGAACAATATTAGCATGTGCTTGGTGTTAAATAAGTGCCTGCTATATCTAATAACTTGCCTCTTCCTTATTACAGAATTTTCTTTGCCATGGTTTGATATACATCATTTAAGGGAACAAGAGGGAAAGGTAGCATCCATGACTCATTTTGTGTGATAACTTTGTTCTAAAGGTTAAGTAAGTTTATATTTTGCTTAGTTTAGAGTCTGGCACTATAGTTAGCAAACAGTTGGTATCATATTTTGGAATTAGTAGTAATACTTGCATATTTTTTGCAAATTCTGATTTTTTTTTTTCCTTTTGGTTTCTGAAAGCTGAAAATAGGAAACTTTTTCATGAACTTGAGGTTGAAAAGTGCCTGGTAACCCTTTTGGGTTCTGAAAGCGATGGAACTAAAATTGCTGCTTCCCAAGCTATTTCAGCAATGTCTGAGAATTCGAGCAGCAAAGATTTTTTCAATACTCAGGGTAAGCAAACTGGAAACGAGCATTTTGAACTTTTTTAGATTACCATAGTCTAGTGTAGATGGACATTTTTAAAGTATCTTTTTGCCTTTCTTTATCCGTAGGGATTCCACAGTTAGTTCAGCTGCTCAAAAGTGACAATGAAGAGGTGAGGGAGGCCGCGGCTCTGGCCCTGGCAAACCTGACCACTTGCAACCCTGTCAATGCCAAGTAAGTGCAAAACTGCTGCTGCACCCGGACTTGTCAAGGATATTCCACGATCTAAGGTGTCTTAGTTTTAATATTTTAAGATAGTTACATATTTTTTTCAGAGAGGTCATCTTACATTATCCTTTCTGATCCCTTATGAAAATAGAATCATTGGATTGGCCTGTTTCCCAAAGATATTACAAAATCCCGGCTGTTTCCAAGTTTGTTGGGGAAACATGCTGGGCATCCCTTTCAGGCACCAGGCTAACTCTTGTAGATGATTCTGGTGCAAAAAAAAGTGGACAGTGCTGGAACTATCAGAGACAACGTCCTGAAAACATTTGATAAATCCATAAAAATGTAAAAGATCCATTTTGAAAGAAAAATGTAAGCATTAAAGAAGTATAGAAACATTTTTAAAAGTCAATTAAGAGGAACATATTATAGACAAATGCCATGAAGAATGTTTGGGGGACAGGAATGTCCTCTGTATTATGAGCACTGAGGTTTGTGATTTATATTCATCTTAAAAATTAATGATCAGGGCTTGGGATGTAGCTCAATTGGTAGAGTGCTTGCCTCGCATGCAGAGGGCCCTGGGTTCAATTCAATCCCCAGCACCACAAAAAATAATAATAATCATTATCAAAGTAACCCATCAACAAATGAGGAAACCAAGATTCTGCATGCTTACGTAGTTTTCCTGGATGCACACGTTCACTAAATAGCTGAGCTGGAAATTCAACCCAAATGTGTCAAATTGTAAAGTCTGATCTTTCCTCTATAGAAGATAAGATTGCCTTAGAAAACAGGAAGAATTTTTTGAAGGCAACTTTCATAAATAAAATAATTATTTGCCCTCCTTACATCTCATTTGCTATGTGAGTTAACTTTCATTTATTATTGTTTTGTGACATTGTGGCTAAAATTACCTTCTCCTAACCTTAAATGCATCCCTCTCTTCCCCCATTCAACCTATTTCTCAACCTTTCTTTCCCCTTCTCTACTCCCACACAAATATTTTATAAGGCCTTAATGGAATGACTAAAATTCTAACAAAGCCTGATTTTTAAAAAATAGCAGAAATGCATAACATCAAAATGAAACTGTGCTCTTTTGTCAGCTACAATCTTTGACATAACAATTTCCTAAATGAAGGGTCCTGATTATCTCTGTGAAAGCACATAAATTTCTAGAATATTGAGTCGTAGGAAGTAGTAATTTGAAGATAGCATATTCTGTAATTTTTCCAGAATAGTCATGCCACTATCAAAAATCTTACAGTGACACTAAAACACTTCTATCTCTAGTCCACTTAGACTTATATATTATCTAAAATACTAAATAGGCCCCTCGAGTGTATAGATACCTTGATTTGATGTGAGTTTGTCTGGCTTATATCACTTCACAGTTTTGTATAAAATCACAGACAATTAGGTTGGTAGGTAGTTTTAAAAGTGCTGGTTTCAGAGTTTCTCTTTCAATTTAATTATCTGTGTCACAGATTTTTGTCCTCTGACTTTATGTTCCATTTCTTCGACATAGAAAGGTCAATTAGAACTCAACAGTGACTAACCTCTCTCTCTCTACTATAGTCAACTTTATTTTTGTAATTTGCTGTTATTCTTGTTAGTTTTTTTTTTTTTTTGCTCTTGTTGAATTTTAATTGCAGCTTTTAAAACCTATTATATACCATCCATTCCTTTTTATTTATTTATTTATTTATTTATTTATTTATTTATTTTCTAGTTTGTATTTGGTAAGGGGTTCCCTGGATATTCGTTGAGGTCTATAAGAGTTCTTACTTTGAACTTTTTGAGCTAAAAAGTACTGAAAATAAATGTTTTTGAGGAGTCAGATTTGACACGTTTGTGCCAAAAGTTAAAGACGGGAGTTTAAAGATTCCAGAGGAATGAGCACAGATAAGCCTCGTTGTCAATCCTTCTAGCAAGCCTCCCCAAGTATTAATTACTAAAGCCCGACACAACCAGGGTGACAACACAGATGAATGGTTTGTTTTAATAGAAAATGTTTCTACTCAAATAAAAAAAAAAAAATCTGTTAAGGTCAGCATGGATGGGTGTTTCCAGCCTCCCTTTTAAGAACAGGCTACTGTATCCTCTTCCCCAGCAAGCACCTTGGCTTTGCTGCTAGGGTGCTTGAAACCAGAGTTTCCCAATTGCTTTTCTGTGGTATATATAGTAAAGGAAGAAGGTAAAAGCTCAGAGCTAAAGTTCTCTGTGTGCATTTAGTAGCTATTTGGGTATCTGATATTCTGTAGCCTAATTTTAAAAAATATACTTAAGCACTCCATATACCAGTTGGGGGTATGTTAGAGCTTAACTCATCTCCTAAACCCCCATCTTGAAATGAATTTCTAACTCTTGAACTCAGGGTTGCTTCTATAATTCATTTCATGAATTGAGCAATCACTGGTGTGTTATGATACGTGATATTGGTGTAATTTCCTTTATGTGATGGGTTTGGGCCAAGAAAGTAGTAGGGAAAACTAAATTTTCTAAATTAAAAAAAAATCAGCCAGAGGAAGGAGAAACATACTTTGTGATGTTTCTTTGTGAAATTGACAAATGCTTTTTTCTTTTAATTAAAATGCTTTTATAATTTAAAAATATAGTATTTTATAGTTTGGGGAAATTAATTTGTCATCTAATATATTTGATCTCACATTTTCAAGCATCTTGATTCTTATGTCAAGAGTGGCATGACATTGAGCAATGATGAATAAATAACCAGACTGTCCCTACCCCTTTGAGGAAGGTTTTTGACTTTAAAACCTTAATTGGTGCCCAAGGTCTCACCTATTTGGTGGTATTCTCTGTGAATAAGCCTTCTTATGTCCAGCTTTCTGGACGTTTCAAATTTTACTTCTTCCATGACTAAAGCTTTAAATGTTTTGCAATGAATTTGAATTAGCATCTTCTAAAATCCTTCCTCCCACCCTTGTAACTGACCATACAGCTTTGGAGAGGAGGTTCAGGAACATCATTGTAAGTGGTCCTCACAATGTTCTCAGGGCTCTTTAAGGACCATGGGACCCCCGGCCTCATTCACTAGGTGCAGCTTGTGGGTGGCATCCCTTGGGGATGCAGGTTGACCCCTATTGGCAGGCTGTCAGTTGTTAGTTTTCATTGCTGCCTGTGTATCTGATTGGCAGAGCCTCCACCTTCCTCCCAGCCAAGATTCCCTTCAGATCCCTTCCTTTCTGTAAGTTAAAGGCTTGGCCCCCAGGGAACCAGCGGTATCTAATTTTATATAAAAGCCATTAAGGAGAACCTGAACATACTTTGGCTTCTCAGAGGCCCTCTCTGCCCACCTCCACTGGAGTTCTCCTATATGTCATGGATATAGGAAGCTCCCAGGTAGTTGGGTTATGCATAAATAAGATTGTAGTTTAAAAAATTATTAACAGGGGCTGAGATTGTGGCTCAGCGGTGGAGCGCTCGCCTAGCACCGGTGGGACTGGGGTTCGATCCTCAGCACCACATAAAAAATAGGGGCATTATGTTGTGTCCATCTACTCCTAAAAAAATAAAATAAATATTAAAAAAATTATTAACAAACACAAATCTCTTTACTTACAAATAAGCTAATATTGTGGAGTAAACCTTAATATATATATATAAAGATATATTCTGGAAGTGCATTCAAATTCCAAGAGTGCTTTTCTGCAGGTCTTTTAAACTGGCTGCCGTCTTGCCTGGGGTGCTCTTTTCCAGACAGCCTACAGCTCTTTCTCTCACCCGTCCAAGTCACTGTTCCAAGAGTCACCTTGGCAAAGAGGACTACTGTGAACACAGTGTTTAAAATTGCACCACAAACACACATACTCTTTCTTTTTTCAAGTACCAGGGATTGAACCCAGGAATGTTTAACCACTGAACCACATCCCAGCCCTTTTTTTATATTTGGAGACAAAGTCTTGCTAAGTTGCTAAGTTTGCTAAGGGCCTTGCTAAGAGGCTGAGGCTGTCTTTGAACTTGAGTTCCTCCTGCCTCAGCCTCCCAAGTCTTTGGAATTACAGGCACGAGTCACTGCACCCTGCTTACACTCATATCCTTAATCCTCTTTCCTGCTACCCTTTCCTCAGACTTATTATTTCTAACATACTGTTTAACTCACCTACTTTGTTATTACTTATTTTCTGTAGCCTACCATCATCAGCATCCGTGTTCTTTTTCTATTTAATTCACCAATACATCTCAAGCATGTAAAATAGTGCTTATCCCATAGTAGATATTTTGGGGAAAATAGGCTTACATCAAAAAATACAACCAAATGCAAAGAAATAGGGGTAAAACAGGGATTCTGTTTTAAAGTCTAAAACATCCAGCAATGCCCATGACTTAAAATAATCAGTGTTGTTTTACTTGTTTGTTTTAATATAATTTGGATCATAGAAAGAACAGTGGGGTAAACAGTGGTTTACCTCTAAAAGACTTCTATCAATGGTTTTCATTCTTTATCATCTGTAGAATAAAGGTTTGTGGGGGAAAATATGACAAGACAATGAACAAGAATAAAAAAAACCTTAATTGAAAGCATTGCAGAGAATGGTAACAGTTAGGTTCATTTAATAGAAGTGAAAGGAGAAAGTAAAATTATTTTTAAATGAGTAAATTAAGAGAAGATATAAAACAGTCCCCATCTAAAGGAACAGATTAAAATGGAAACCAAGAAGCAATAATGAGTTTTATATAAACATGTGATCCATTTAGTTAACTTGGACACAGATGTCCTTTCTTGGTACACCACTAATCTATTTGATAATGCTCACTGTGTAATACTTTTTGGAATAAAAAGCTATTAATTTTTGTTATTTGGGGCTGAATTTCATGTTGTGTTTACCCTGTACACGTCTATCCAATTAATCATATCAAAATTTTATATTATTTATGCAAGTACTGGGAGAATTACTTGTGGTTTACATCCTTCTGAGGAGCCAATCCTACATATGAGGTATTTTAAACTATTAATTTATAACATCACTGCCATCTGTTGGA